TGAAATTAATATTAAAATAAAAAGTTCATAAATTTGTCATCTTGTCACGTGACCGGTGCAAGATGACTTATTATGCAATTTTTACCTCCAATTTTATAAAGTTTTAAAAACTACCAATAACTAAAGAAACAAATAAAAAAAGACAAATTGTAAAAAACTACTTTTAAAAAAGTTAAACTTGAAGGACACTATCCGTTATGAAAAATCGAAAGTGAGGCATTTTTTTTTAAGCTCAAAAAGTAAACTTAAGCGTATAAAATTGCGTTAATAATATTTCAAAAAACCAATTGGTGTTTTAAAATACAAGATGTATTTTTTTACTCTTTCGTAGCATAAGTTATATTACATAACAAAGGTTCATTACGTAACATAGAGTGATAGAAAGCAAAAAATATTTTACTTAAATAATTTCTCAAATAAAATTCATCATTAGAACTTATTAGGTTTGAAGAAGTAATTGATTATGATGTAATAATCAAGCTCTTATAATCTTTATAGTTACATTAAACTGCTAAAAATTTGAGGGTAAAAAAAATGAAATATTCGGTTAAATTTTCAAGAAAAAGTGATTTTCAAACAGATGTTTTTGGTTTTTATGGTTCTTAATTCCATCAAAAGCAAACATTTTAATTAATAAATTTGTTATTTTAAATAATTACAAAAACATTTTTTAATGGTCATATAGGTGCTTCAAGAAAAACAATGTTCTAGTTACGAAGCAACGCGGAAAAATATTAAACTAGGAAGTTCTATGACAAACACTTAAGGCGTCCACCAACAACACCTCAAATATATGATGGCGACTGGCCTACTCTACAGAAAGTTATTATCAATAGATGATAGAGAGAACACGATCCATTCATTCTGCTTGTATGGTATAAAAGTACATACCAATGGCAGTTATCTCTATTTACCATGATTGTATAAGGCCTTGGCTTAATATAAACCTTAAAACAGTTATACAGTTAATTTTTATTTGTTTAAAGATCAAGTGAAAACATTTTTACCTGATAGACTAAATAAATTTCAAATTTATAAAATTTCAGACATGCTGAGGTGTTGTAAAAAGCATATAAAAAAGAAAAGAAGAAATTTTTTATTTCTTGCAATTTTATAGCAATTTATAAGTTATTGGCAACTACGAGAGTTAAGGAATATATAAAAATAATTACACTATGTAACACAATTTTTGTTCCCGGCTTCTAAGTGTTATATTTCAATTGCTTATGTCAAAAGTTTGCAAAAAAATGACTTTATTAAACAGAAACTTTGCTTTCACTAGCAATAGCACAAAGAAAACTTGTTTTTTCTTTTTTGAAAATAGAACAATTTTTTTCATTTTCGTCTTTATGATCATGTAAAAAAAATTTCACAAGAAATAGACAAACAAAGTCGAAACTACTTTGAGAGAGTGGTTTACAGTACAATTGTAAATCTAGAAAAGCTAAATATTTCTGAATCTTGTTGAGTGGTACAAGATTCAGAAATATTTAGGTTTTCTAGATTTACAATTGTACTGTAAATCACTTTCTCAAAGTAGTACCCAAACGTAGTCCCCCATCATTTTTTCTTAATACTGTCCTTGGTAACGACGTTCAAAGTCCAATATATCTTGATGAAAACACTCGCCTTGCTCCTTGGAGTAAGCGCCCATGGTCTCCTTAAACTTGTCGAGATGGAAATCAAGGATATGAACTTTCTGCATCCCATTTTGGCGTAACTCCTTATGAAAGTCTGCATCAACATAGTTTTCAGCTTTGTGATCTGTGGTCCAACGAATATACCAGCCCTAACCTTAGCTTCGGAGAGCTTTGGAAAAAGATCTTGGAGGTATTAAAATCTATCAGCAGCTTCCACTACTTATTGCTCTTCCCAACAGAAAACTCGATCCGTTACCAGTCCTTTGTGCAATAATGCGCCTTAGTGTCACAGCTGTTCCAGAAACAGAAAAAACAAGGACAATTTGTGAAACCTTCTTGAAAAACCCATGAGGAATAATACCATTTTAAAGTCCCTTCCATCCATAGTCGTCATTTTTAATGCACTTGGCAACATTTTGACACTGGTGTAGTCCTCTTTGAGACGCACAGAATGAGCCATTGAGAGAGACGGATGGTTGTTTTTATTGTGAAGCAACACGGTTTTTAGGCTCCGGGATGAAATGTCTATGAATAGGCACCATTCAATAGAATTACATACAACATTTATAGCCCAGAACAACCTGCCCATCACGCTGACTGAAGAAGTTAAAGAATCTTTGATGCCGTTTCCTCTGATCCGTGATTTGCATGCTATCATCAACCAAATTTCAATTTAGTGCGTCCAAGGTACCTATTTAAATCGTTCACGTCTTTTTGGTTAGGAAAGTACGAATTTCTATATAAACTTCTTCTGCAGAACTGTACTCCATATCTCCAGTATCTATCTCGCTATCTGATATGCTGCTGTTTCCTGAAGATGGCCAAATGGTTGGAAGAATGGAAGAATATATATCCGGATAAAAGATCTGAGGGGCATTTTTGCCGGTGCAACAATTTTTTGGGTTTACCATGCAGAAGTAACAGTTTCTCGAGTGGTCCGTCGGCTCTCGCCAAAATCGTGGAAAGCAAACTTTATTACACGCTTCTCTCCTCTATACCAACCAGTAACATTGCACATAATACATAAATATTACAATAATTTAAGGCAGCAAATTTCAAAATATGGAACGATGGAACGTATTCAACCCAGGAATAAAACAAAAGTGAAAATTTATTACATAGTGTTATTTTTGTTTCAAGTTTTTTTTTCATAAAAGTTTTAAAAATTGAACTCCCTTAGAAAAATATATATACTTTTACGTTTGTATTTTTGCACTTTGTTGAATTAGTTGTACGTATATATGAACCAAGCATTAACTCCAAAATTTACAGACTTAACATCTCACTTTAATACTAGCTAAAAACTTTTTTAAACACTCATTTAAAAATCATTTTTAATTTTTATTATAGTTTTTACAATTACGAAATTTACTTATAAATTTAAGTAATAAAATTATAACTTATTGGTTACAAAAGCATTTTTGAAATAAACGCTTCTTGGAGCAACTAACGTAAAAAAAAAAAGAAAAAGTAGAGAAAGTTTGTGTACCTACCTTGTACCTACCTTGTACCTAACTATTTGTACCTAAGACCATCTTAATTTATTTAAAAACTAAAAAGTTCTTAGTAATGCTTCTTAGTCAAGTGATTATTTATTATAACTTTTTCTAAATCCTATTTTGATTCTCACAGAGCGTTGCCACGGCAACTTATAATCGGAAAACGCTTTTTGATGGTCAAAAAAAACGTTTTTATGCTTGTATTGTTTCATAATTTTTCAGAAAATATTTTTCTATAGGTTCTTGTATATTATCTTGTTTGTTACTTAAGTACTAAATGCAATGTTTAATAAGTTTCCTCTCAAACCGAGTTTGTTAACAAATGACGACGCTACTAAACCTTGTACCTAGGGCCATATGTGTGTTTCTCTGATAAAGAGTTCGTTTAATCGCGAGGTAAATTGTTGAACTTTATAATTGGTGTAGAACGTTATTTGTTTTTTGTGGTTGTTTTGAGATTATCATTTTACGCCAAGACTTTATAAGTCAATTTTGTAAAGAACTATCAAAATTAAACAGTTTTAAATGCTGGAAAAGTAACACAAGATAAATTTGTTGAAAAAAATATAGGATTAAATAAATTTTCAATAAAATTTATGTGTCCATGTTTGTTATTTATTTATCATGGAGTTAAACCTAATTTTCAGAGAACGGCCCTAGGCACAATAGCTGATGGCTCTAGATATGATTAAGAAAAGTTTATTTTATCTAATTGTTAAACTCTTCTACATGAGGGACTTTTATATTTTAAGTCATTATACCTATATTAATACAAAGTAATTAGTATAGAGATGTGATCATATCAGTTTACCATTTTTAGACAAGTCCGGGGTCTTCAATTGGGGCATTGAAAAAAGCCGGCTTTAGGTACACGAACTTACGCTAACAACCATCTGCAACAATGTTTTTGTTTTAAAGTAGAACCAATTAAAAAACTTCAGTCAATAGAAATTTTTTAAAGTTTGCGGAGACATTTTTATTAACTTGTATGCAGGGTCGTCCCGAAGAGGTTTTAAAGGATAGAAGGATAAGGGGGGTGCTAACTAAAGGTCCAAACTTAGCGACAACAGGTGAGCAATATTGCTGACTAACTTTTGAAAAAGGTTTTCAAAGAGGGGTTATACTCAACTACACTTTCTCCTAGGGAAGGCCCTGCTTGTATGAAAATGTCTAATAAGGCTGTCAAAAATTGTGAAAATGTTTACCCGGGCATGTACCCGGGTATCCGTTAAAAAAATAATACTTTATTTTACTGAAAAATAGTTCTTTTAAACAGTCAATAAAAATCTTTTCATTCAATAATTTTATTTATTTAGAACTGTATCTTTTTCACTTAAATCTAAATTTTATTTTACATTAAGTGTTCAAGTTAAATTAAGGTTTTGAAGTACTAAAAGTTCATGTCCCAATAAAGGTTTTAAAATACTAGCATGTTCATTGTTTCGGATGCCAAAAATGTACGCCATTAACTGAAAATTTAACAAACTAATGAACAAAAAAATTATTATAACAATGACGTCATTTGAACAGCGGTGACTCAGTGATTAGAGTTCTAGCTCAAAAAAAAGAGGTATGAGGTTTGACGTCGGCTATGGCCAGATAAACGACATTGGTAAGAAGAAACATAGTTTAATTAGCACTAACTTAGCTAATCTAATTTGCTTACTCTAATAAAGTGTGTAACTATTATTAATGAGTTTTATGGTAAACAAAGTAATGAATACATTATAAGAAACTAATTAGTATTATTTATGATAACTTATAAACTAAGAATAGTTATCAGTTATCATAAATAATACTAATAAACCATATATTAGTTCTATTTCCTTTTTTTTATGATTAAAATTTTTTTTCCTTACAGATCGTAGCAATGGGTAAAAGAAAAGTACCACTAAATGGCTCTCTTTTTTATGATATAGTTGACGAAGAAGGGCGTGAAATTATATTAGAATGGTCTGAAAAACGTAAAGCAAAAATTTTGAGTAAACCTTTTTACTACCGCAATTTTTTATTATATACTTTCACTTTTAACACTTTAAAAAGTTTTATTCAAAATATCAACTTCATGGTTTTTGTTCAAATGGCTGTCGCAGCTGTAGCAGTATTTGTATCCAAGTATTTTAATTTGGAAATAGACGTTAATGTTAACTTGTTTGTTTCTCCGATTGTTTTTCCATTAGCATTTTCTATTAACACTGATTTTCTCAGACGAGAAAAGGTTTTAGATGATTTAGCAAACTTCAAAGCAGCAGGAATGTGTTGGTTTTTTTGTATGCGTGATTGGAGAGCTGAGTCGCAGTTAGACATATTTTGGATAAAAGCAGTTCACAAAAAGCTAAAAAGTATGATGTTTTATGTTCGAGAATATTTATTAACTGAAAAATCTAGCCGTCGGCAGGTTATTTTAAAAGTTATGTATGAGAACTTTAGTGATGCTAATCAACTTATCGAATGCGTACGAACTAGTAAGTTACCATTAAACTCGTCACTTGTAACAAGATCTTTGATTCTTTTAAACAGCATGTGTTTGGCCTTTGAACGTTTAAGAGTGATACGCGAGTATCGCTCTCCACGATCTATTCGAGCTTTTAACAAGGTTCTTATTTTTTTTCTTCCAGTAATTCTGTCACCTTATTGTGTATTTGTTGGGAAAAAAAAAAATAACGAATGGTCACCTTATTACATATCCGTATTGGTGGCTTTTGTATTTTCTTCCCTTCAAGGTGTTCAAGATAAACTTGATAACCCTTTCGATGGTATGAGTGAAGATGACATAAACCTTTCTTCAATTGACGAATGGACATCTCAATCTTTAGATGCTACAGAAAATAGATCATTTACTATTGGAAGATTCAAAGTTGAAACACAACCCATTATTGAAGTAACAATAGATTCCTACATGTCATCTACAAAGTTACCAATAGCAAATGGTCAAAACCGGAGTTATAAAAAAAACAAAAATCGTAAAAAAAAGTTGTCTAACAATGTCTCATTTAAACGATCAAGCATGAATCATAAAAGGGCTTTAAAGAAAACTTCAAGTCTCCTAAGGCCAAATCAAGTCGTTTTTGACTTGGAAGAACCAAGCACTGAGGTGTTCCACCCTGAGTTACATCCTTATGCAAATGTTCTTGATAAAATACAAGGCGACACAACAATTTTGAGAGGAGGAGTCATAAAACATTTTAGAAAATAAATTTTCATACCTTTGACTCATCAACAATAAAGGATTTAAACTTTTGCTTCAAAAAATGAATTTTAAAAACAAAATAATATTAAATAATAAAGGAGAAAAGTACATTAGAAGTACAATAAAAGTTCAAAACTTGCATGCAAATGGAAATATTTGCTCATATATATATATATATATATATATATATATATATATATATATATATATATATATATATATATATATATATATATATATATATATATATATATATATATATATATATATATATATATATATATATATATATATATATATATATATTATATATATATATATATATGTATATAAATGACTTTTTTTTACTGTACACAGTAACTAAAGTATTTATTTTAGAATATTAGTCTTGGAAAAAAAATTGGAGTGTAAGACTAATATTCTAAAATAAATACTAAAAACGTTGTATGATTTGTGCTTTGCCTGCTTACTAGCTTATTAAAAAAAAAAGGTCCGCCTTTTTTCATTCATAAGTAACTTTCTTTTCTAACTTTTTGTACTTTAGTGTAACAATCATGTCACATCATTACAATCTTTTCATAAAATTTCTTTTTAATCACTTATATAAAAAAAAATGAAAAATTTTAAAATGTTATCAGATAGAAAATTTTTTTACTTGTTATAAACCTAAATAAACTTAAAGGCTTCATCATATATTTTTTAAACTTTTTAACAGATGTTCCATACTTTAGGTTCCAGGTTTATGTATGTTATACAATATTCTGAGTGTTTGGTACATTTCCGAGATCAAATATAAACAAGACAAAAGTCTTGTTTATATTTGATCTTACTTTTTACTTTTTATCATACAATTAAAATTTTTTAGTAAGTGGTTGTGGTAAATTCTATAGAAACAAATTATATGCTGATATTTATTTATTTCAAATAAATCCATCATTTTAACATCATTCAAAGTTAATAATTTTTACGTTTATGGTTTAAAAATATGATTCTGTAAGCGTGTGTTTTTAGCCAATAAATTTTTTGTAGTGAAACAATGAATGAAACCAAAGTAATACAGTTTTTGTAAGACTTTGTGTATTATCGTTTGAGCAAATTCGATACATCATGCATTAGTTTTGGTACCAATTTACTGAATATATTTTATTTAGGGTAAGTGAAACACAGGATTTCATAATAAAAGTTCATAAAAAATTTATAATGACTTGTTTTTTAATTAGTCAGCCAATTAACTTTAAAACTTAAGAAGCACGTTTAGTTCTTGTGTTTTTTATGGAATAATTTGTTTTTGTAACAGTGAAAACCCTTAACCATATAATTAATTTATCTCATATCTCATTATATAAATGATGTATATTAACATATCTCATTATATAAATGATGCATTTCAAAAGTTATTTCTATAAATTACGAATATAAGCGGGCCAAGGATCAATCATTAAGAAACTCTTTATAAAACATTTAGTGTTCCGGATTGTACATTAGTCATATATTGCTTTTTATCTGTAAGATTACTTTTATTTCAGTTTATAGATTATATTAGTTATATGGTAATGCTTTACTTTATTTTTATTATTATTTTTTTTTTATTTTTTTTTTTTTGTTCTTTATTACATTTTAAACAACATTCCGTTATAAATATACAAATTAAAAAATAAAATATAGAAGTTACAAGAAAATAACAAAAAAAAAAAAAAAAATCGTAAATAAGAAATAAAAGAACGCGGGGACTCGTAGAAGACCGTAAGGTCTTGTCGTCGAGAACCGCTAAAATGAACGTGATACAAACAAATTAAAAATATTCAGAAAACCCGTTATAAATATAGAGATTAGTTATATAAATACTATATAAGTTAATAAACATATAAATTGTCGTATATTATGATACATATTCTTGGTAAATATATAAATTATAAACTAATAATAGTTCTTTGATAAGTGGAGGTAAAATGGGAAAACTATTAAAAATTATTAAAAGTAAATTGATAGATCGTCAATTGTAAAAATTAATTCTTTTAACTTTCGTTTAAAAGAGTTGTAGTTACATTGTTGGATAAAATCTTGAGAAAAGTTATGCAATATTTGCATAATTTATATGGCTATGAATAAAAGAGAAATATAATTGAGTTAAAATTTTTTTATTTAAAAAGTTTCTTGCTTTATATAAAATTCCTAAACTTTTTGAAGTTTTGTTATATAAATTGAATTTTATATAAGACTGCTTTATATAAAATTCCTAAACTTTTTGAAGTTTTGTTATAGATAACTCTTTCTAAGACTTTAGAAAAGACTGCTTTATATAAAATTCCTAAACTTTTTGAAGTTTTGTTATATAAATTTTTAATATGATTTTTCCACGAAAGATTATCATCAATATAAACACCTAAGAATTTTGTAACGTTTACTCTAATTATTTCGATGTTATCAATAAAAAGGGATGGCATTTCATAAGGCAGTAGTTTTTTCTTAGAGGGCGGGTGAAAGAGAGTCCAGTTTGTTTTTTGAATATTAAGCGATAATTTATTTAATTTAAACCAGTAAGAAATCTTGTTTAATTCTACATTCATAAGTTGAAACAGAGAAGTGATGTTAGTATGAGATAAGAATATGTTTGTATCGTCTGCAAACATGATTGTTTTTAATCTGGATACTTTATAGAGATCGTTGATATATATAAGAAAAAGAAGTGGTCCGAAAATGAACACCACAAGTAATTTCTAACAAACTTATAGGATAAGAAGCGTCAATGCTAGATGTTAAATATTATAATGTTAAATATTATAATGTTAAATATTACAATGTTAAATATTACAATGTTAAATATTATAAAAATATATTTAACAAATTGCAAACAATTTGTTAAAACAAATTGTTTGCAATTTGTTAAATATATTTTTATCCACTTTAAAACATAACCAGTTATTCCGTAATTTTTGAGCTTTTTAAAAATAATTTTATGATCTATTGTATCAAACGTTTTCGATATGTCGATGAAGATGCTTAAAGTATATTCGGATTTCTCGAAGGATTCTGTGATATTAAGTGTTAGCTGGAGAATCGCGTGCTCTGTAGAGTTGTTTTTTTTGAATCCATACTGGTGGTTAAATAATAAATTGTTGTTAGTTAAATGAGTGTAAATTTTGTTATAGATAACTCTTTCTAAGACTTTAGAAAAGACTGGAAGAACAGAGATAGGGCGATAGTTATTGATATTTGTTAAGTCTCCTCCTTTGAAGATAGGTGTGATTTTTGCAATTTTAAATTGATCAGGAAAAATTCCTTGTCTGATTGAAAGTGAAAAAATTTTAAAAAGCACGTCTTTTATAACCTTGTATGAATTTTTTATTACATTGCCATTTATATCATCGAAGCCACTTGGTTTTAGCGCACTAAAAGCTGTTTCAAATTCTTCAAACAATAATTCCAAAAAAATCAAGATTAGCTAATGCAATAGATGGGATATCACTTGTTTTCTTTATATTTGGTATATTTCTTGCTAAATTAGGTCCGATCGTGACAAAAAATTTGTTTAGTTCAATTACTATTTCACGTGGATCATAAGAGATATCACCATTAATTTTAATGCCATTTTTCAGAGCGCATGATTTAATTTTTGTTTTACCGATAATTTATTTTCGTGGTCAGCTTTTTTTATAATATTAGTATTTAAATATGTGTTGTAGCATTCAATTTTTCCAGAAGGTGGGCGATGACAACAACTTAAAAGTATGTTTTTATTTTTTTGGGTTAAAATTTCAATTGTTAAAATCTCTTTATCGTCATCAGAAATACTCAGGTCGAGCCGTGTAAAAAATTGAAAACTTTCCTTTAAGTAAATAAGCACACCGCCACCTCGTTTATTTGCTTTACGAGCTAATGATATTATTTTAAAACCAGGTAAATGGATATTACAGTCATAATTCACTTCGTCAGAATCGCACCACGTTTCGGTTACACAAATTATATTAAAAACGTTTAGAGTATCTTTCATACATAAGCAAAAGCTTTCAAAAATTTTTTTTAAGGTTCTTATATTTATATGCAAGGCATTCAAATGGTCACGCTCTAGGAAGTCCTTTATTTTATTATATGCGGTAGTGGTGTAGTGGTAGAGCGCTCGCTTTATAAACGAGTGGTTCCGAGTTCGATCCCCACCACGTCCCTGGTAGTACCGCGCTCAACTCGTTTCTCCGCGCAGCGGCCTTGTTCGTCAAGGTTCGTGTTTCGGAGTTATAGAGTTGATAGAGGGTTATAGCCACAAATAAGTAGCCTCCTCGTCTGTAGTGGCCTTCTCGGCCTTGAGGAGGTGAATTAAAATTAAAAAAAAAAAAAAATTAAAAAAATTTCATGTGCGTAAAAATAACAACAATTATTTTGTAAAGCACCTGCTTCGCTAAAATAATTTAGATCTGGATCAGATCTCTCATCAATAAGGTATTTATTTGTTTGAAGAAAATTAAAGGTTAATTTAAAATTATCTAGTAAAACTGAATCCATTTTAATAGTTTAGTATACTTTTAGTGCCTAACGAAAACAAAGGAATTTCTATTTTTAGGCATCGCGCGTAACAAGTTTATTATAAACCACTTTTGCATATTTACCTTTTGTTCTAATTTTGTTCTAATCTAAAATAATATAATGATTAACCCTTTCACTCCCTGAGACCCGCACAGCGGGTCGTATCTAATATCGCGATTTTCCCTGTGATCCGCTGTGCGGGTCATTTCAACTTCTACGATTTAAACACGGTTTTATAGCGTTTTTTGTTGTGTTCTTTGCAGATATGGAAAATAGAATAGTTATTACATTATAGGCTGAAAACCGTTCGTCAAAATTTATCTTCCCGACGGGCATTTCTTTTTAAAAGTTACGATCTAAATGTATTTTAAATGTCTTTTAAACGTCTTTTAAACATTAATGTTTAAAAGACGTTTAAAAGACATTTAAAACACATTCAGAACGTAACTTTTAAAAACAAATGCCCGTCGGGTTAGTTAAAAAGATATAGCATTTTTAAAAATTGCCGTGGATAGCCTACCGAAAGTCGGTAGCGGAAAAATAAAAATTATCCTACCGAAAGTTTTTTTTATTGGTTGAGAATAT